TCCCACCAGGATTACGTGCTCAAAAATCGAAGAGGCACCACTCTCCGAATCTCGAGAGCCAGACTCCCAACAGGATTACGTGCTCAAAAATCGAAGAGGCACCGCCCTCCGAATCTCGAGAGCCAGACTCCCAACAGGATTACTTTCTCAAAAATCGAAGAGACACTGCTCTCTGAATCTCAAGAGTCAGACTCCCAACAAGATTGCTTTCTCAAAAATCGAAGAGGTACCGCTCTCCGAATCTTGAGAGCCAGACTCCCAACAAGATTACGTGCTCAAAAATCGAAGAGGCACCGCCCTCCGAATCTCGAGAGCCAGACTCCCAACATGATTACTTTCTCAAAAATCGAAGAGAAACTGCTATCCGACTCTCAAGAGTCGGACTGATAAGCTCATATTTACATATATTTTACATCAAATTCACTTGTCTTTTCTTAGTTAGTTCCTTATATTTTTGAGCTATTTACTTTGTTTTTGTGTTTTGTAGGATTTGTCAAGCAAACAAAAGAAAAATAGCACAAGTGGGATTTTAAGTAACAAATTCGTCAAAACTGCCTGTGCAAATCAGATGACTTTGGAAGCAAGTTGCGAACAGCTCAGATTGAATTAGAGAATGAGCCTTACATGTTTGGAAAGCTACGGCTGTCTATTTTCTAGAGCATTTCGCGGATTGTTAATATCATTTTCTAGAAGAAGTTATGGCCGTTTTAACACTGAAAGGTTACCAAGAGGCTGAGCAATTTGTAACTACAATGGAAGCAATAAACCCAATAAATCTAGCAGCCAAAACTGATGCAGCCAAGAACAAGTCAGCTGACACTTATTCAAATATAAAAGGGAATGGAATTAAAGATGAGGATTAAAATAGAGTAATTGGCATAAGGGATACCCAAAGAGTTACAATTGTTTTACCATTTCCTCTCACTTATTGTCATCACTAAATGGCTATTATTGGGTGGGTTAAGGAGAAGAAAATGATGCAGCAAGAATTGGTTTAAAAGCAGCGTTGGGGAAGGAAGGAAAGAGAGAATGAGGCCTCGATCAATTTATTTCGGTTCTATCTTCTCAAACTCATGTCTATCTTTTGTTTTAACTTAAAGATTGTGTGTAACTAAATTTTTAGTAGTTAGGGGCTGTGTTGAAGCCCCGAATATGATTGCAAGTTTGTTATGACATTTCGTAAGAATTACTTTTATGAATGGATGAAAATTGGTTCACTACTTGTCTCATTGATGAACTCTTTATGTGTTTTCTACGGATGCATACTTAGTAAGCATATCTAGAATTCTAATGCTATGAATGTGTGTGCCTGCCCTTGTCAAATAAGGACCTACATATGTTCTAGAGTAGTACTTGTTAATTACGATTAACATGTGAACCAATTTCTAGGATAAGTAAGATAACGTCAGTACTTACGATGCATTGTGATGACTCAAACTCTTTTCGTTCTTAATGATTTCTACTTGTTAAATCTATGAACACGCCATTCTAGATTGCATGCTAGGAACTAAGTTAAGTTGAAAACGCCATTCTCTTAACATACTACATAAGAAAGAGTAATAGGTTGAGTTCTAACATTGAGACAACTTAAGCATCTTCATCCGGAAATAAAAGGAATTTGAATGAAACATAACATGTTTGCATGATTATTTGGTGGTGGATAGCAATTCCCCTAACTCGTTTTTCTTAATTTGTGAACTATTTAAAATTTGTTTATGTCCTGTTTTTGTTCGATTTAATTTAAATAGCAAATTAACTCTAAAAATCCCAAACATTTGTCTGAGCATAGCTCTGTGTGTCTAGTGTCTTCATATAAAATTTCGTAGAATTTAGATAAGTGTAAGTTGGTCTAATAATTATTTTTCGGTGGCTGGTCAGTAAGGACAGCAACCAGTTTTTGTGACATTTTAAGTAGTTAGATAAAACAATCTTCTGCGGGAAAGACCATTATTTTCATATGCGACAATTCATAAATCTTAGTGTTAATAAGGAAAATCAATAGGATATTTGTGTGCTACTTTGTGGTGTGCTTTTAATCCTATCACAGACTCCCAACAGGATTGCTTTCTCAAAAATCGAAGAGACACCGTTCTCTGAATCTCGAGAGCCAGATCCCCGACAGGATTGCTTGTTCGAAAACCGAAGAGGCATCTCTCTCCGAACTTCGAGAGCCAGATTTCCTTGGATAAAGCTTGTATGTAATCTCTACACGCAACATCAGCTTTCCAGATACCACATACCACTTTTTCAAAGTGCTTTGACAAAGTTAAAACACGTGAAGCTTGCAGCTTCCACTACATTGCTATGACCAAGAAGGGTAAATGAATAGCACTACTACTTGTTGTTAAGGAGACTCCTATATACGTCGACCTCCATCCTCCACAGCCAAGCAGACCTGCAAATAAATAAAAAATGCTCAACTTTTCTTCACATCCGAGAGGGCACTCTCAGCAGAGTCTCTCGAAATACTCAGCTTCTTTTCCTCCCGATAATACCTCTGCAAACAAGCCACACCAGAGCAAGAGTATCTCATATCATCAGGGTTAAAAGCAAGAGTATCCCATATTATGTTTTTTCCCTATCTTATCCTTTGCCCTTGTTCTTACCTGCAAGACAAGGAGAAAGAGAACAATCAGTCAGCACTTGGAATCAAGCTTCCAGTCATGAACTGACTGCCTGGAACCCCTTGCATGATTACTTACCTGGCATTACTCTCGAGTATTCATCTTCAACATCTTATGCTTCCAGAGAAGATACCACATCTGCCTGAGGAACAGATAGAAGTGAGAAGGATACAAGGAAGCATGTGGAGACAAGCGTAACAGAACATGTGCCGATACATCCACTACTTTGTCAACAGCAAAAGTATCACATATCATCAGGGTCGAACGTACTCGAGATTTGATGGACTTGTTTGACCCTCAAATTCTTAAGTCGGCCTTATACTCTGGAGGAAACCAGAAAACCTTCCAGCCTAGTTCAAGAATAAGCCTGTGGAAAGTTACTTCTTCAAAAGCAAAAGTATCTCATATCATCTCTTCTCCATTTGCTTCTCCTTATCCTTGTTGTTATTTACGACACAAGGAGAATGAGAACAATCAACCGGAAGCCGAAATCGAACCTCCGATCCAGGTTGCTTGCTTAGAAGTCTAATTGCTTACCTTGTTTGTTACCTCATTCGGCAAATCTCCTAGCTCGGCGACTTGGGGGACTCCTACTATAGGGTTTGTATCGTACTTGACCAAGCCCGAAACTACAAGTAAGCTTCAAGTGAAATTGATACATTACCTTGTGCATCTTCATCGGTTAAAGATACCACCCCTGGATGGAGGAAAAGTACTTCCAGAGAAGATGTCACATCAACATATGAGACAGATAAGGCAAGTGAAAATGATACCACACTTCGGTACTTAGAAGTTTCGTGATTACTCAATGGCTTGGATCTTGCAAGTCCCCAACCTAGGAGCTTCCCTCACTCGGGAATTTAGGGGAGCACTGTTTGTACCATACTTGACCAATCCCCGAAACTACTGAGCATTTGTCAACATTATACCGTCAAGGACCCAGAAGAGTTTCCCTCCATCCAAGAGGCCAATCACAGTGCGACACGTGTCGACATTAGAAGCCAATCATAGAGCGACACGTGTCAACATCAGAAGCCAATCACAAAACGACACGTGTCAATGTCAAAATGAAACTAGAAACTCTCTTCTATAAATAGAGATCATTCTCTCACAATATTTCCGAATGTCATTTGTACTAAATCATTCACTAGTACTCACTAAAGGAGAGCTTGAACCTATGTACTTGTGTAAACCCTTCACAATTAATGAGAACTCCTCTACTCCGTGGACGTAGCCAATCTGGGTGTACCACGTACATCTTGGGTTTGCTTCCCTGTCCCTATCCATTTACATATTTATCCACACTAGTGACCGGAGCAATCTGGCGAAGGTCACACACTTGACACTTTCTGTTGTAACAAAATCCTCGCTGATTTTGTACATCAACAAGATGTTTTCCACAGGATTTTTTGGGCAATTTGGTTCGATTAAGAGATTAAGAATTGCGCGTAACAAAAAGGTTAGGCTGCTGGACCACAACCATGTCACTATATATATGTTTTTTGTGATGATTCTAATTTGTGTCTTTCATAGCATTTTCTTATCTGATTAGTGGTTAACTAGCATCTGTAGTCTGCCACGATAACTTTGACTGGTACCACATGCCAGATCGACTAAACAACTATTTCTAACCAGTGAAATTGCAGTCTTTCTAAAATTTTGGTTGATGAGCCATGAACTGGATAAAGTGTTTTTTAAATGGAAGTGAAATTGGGCATGTAGCTTTCAAATCTTGATCTGACAAGTGAACTAATTATTGGGCGGGTTGAAACTCAAATGAGGTTCGCCACTGTGGAAATCTTCAGTCTGATATTAGGGACCGAGGCTGAAAAAGAATCATGGAAAAAAGAATTAGATATTTTGGAGTGAAAGTAGCGGTCCTAGGGTGATCAGCCTTGATGAAAATCAAGGTAGTGCTCCAAGAGGGATAAAGTTTGAAGAAAGTTTGTAAAAAAATTTGTTTTCACCTTATCAACTCCAACGGTATCTTATAAAAATAAAGATACATGTATAGGGTTTAGGGTTAAAACCCTTAAGATAATTTAAAATTAGGAAGATCAAGTGTTTTAAGAAATTAATCCCCTAGAAGATAAAGTGTATCAAGATGTTGTATTTACATAGAAAATAATCTCTCTGTGTATATATACGTAATCTGTACTCCAAATCATTACAATTATTATACCTTGCTCATCGATGGCGTCTCATTTGGAAGGAGTAAAAAAACATGTGCATTGACTGATGACGTAAGGACGTATTTTGTTCCTTGTAACTGAAGATAAATATAGTGTATATCACTCTTGAACGTAATTCTGCAACACCTTCATTCCTTCCGGACTTGTGATTATTTGCAGATTAAAGATCTTCTCGTTCATTTAGTATGCAGTATTATAGTTACAGGAATTATTATGATTTTCACAAATTTTAACTTGTTTTTCCCTTTCATCTTATGTTCAATAGACAGGAAAATCGAAGCATTTTGGCTTCATTGAGTTTGCAGACCCTGAGGTTGTATCCATTTATTATCTAAAGTCCTGTTCTTCTCTACAATGTTTCCTTTTTTGTGGTGCTAACACTACCTTCCTTGTCTGCAGGTGGCGAAAGTTGTAGCTGACACTATGCATAACTATTTGTTGTTCGAACACGTGTTGCACGTCCATCTTATTCCTCCACAGAAAGTTCACCTGAAATTGTAAGTAATTATTTGTTTATCTTTTATGATATGAGAGTTTGGCATCCAAGATATTTTTCTGATAGTAAATCCAATTATGTATTTTGTGTTTAAGATGTTCAATGATTCCTTAAAATTGCTATCATGTTGTAGACATCGAAATTTCGGTGAAATAAATGTTGATCAATAATTAAAATTTCAACGTTCACGTATCATATAACGGTGCTTACAAGATTGTGGAAGAAGATGGCTTAAGAATTGGCCCCATAAACAGCAAGTTCATGAAGTGGTACTATGCCTGAGAAGAAGACAAGCTCCTTGCTTGCAAGAGTTGAAACTGCAAACGGAACCAAATGCTCCTGGCCCGCAAGAGTATAAACTGCGTACGGCACCAAAAAGAAAAATGCATTTGAACTACGTCATGACTTGATCCCTCCTCAACTGAGGGTACGTAGGCAACTTAAAACTTCAAAACTTCAAAACTTCAAGTACAGTCACATCAACAAAAAACACAAACACCTTGAAGAATAAAGAGCGAATTCAAAATGTGAATACTTTATTTCTTTGAAGGAAGGATTTGGCTACAAAACATTGCTACAAAAAAAAAAAAAAAAAGGCTTGAGGAGGACATTATTTGAGAACTATGTCCCTAAAACTATGGTAACGATCCTCGATTAGACCTTCTAAAGTCTTCAAGGTCTCCACATCGGTGGGAGACAAGGTGGGCAACTCCATAGCCATGCCTTTCTCTTGCTCTAGGCATGACATCTCCTTTTGGTACTGAGAAATTGTAGCTTCCTGCTTCGAAAGAACACCTTCAAGTTGTGATGCTTCAATTCCCAATTGTTTTCGCTCTCGCACCAACGCTTTTAGACGCACTCTGACAGAAGCTAAAGAGGTTCCTGTGACTTGCTGAGAAGACCGAACTTGGGCAATTGATAAGTCTATTTCTGTAAGTTGTTGAGCTCTAACATCTGGACTTAACTTCTTCGAAGAAATAGCACACAGGCAAGAATACTTAGTCGAGTCAGCCATAAGTTCGACAATCTGAACTCTCAAAGGCAAGGAATCAACGTCAAGGTCGTCAATTGCAAAAACAAACTTCGACAAATCCTCCTTGAGCAACGCAAGGTCTTCCTATGATCACCTTGAAAGGCTCTCCTCAATATGGCTTTTGACAACCATGGCCGCATTTAAGTCTGACACAATGGATAAGTTGCTCAGTACCACGAAGGTTCGGCCTTCTTAAAGAGATCTCAGAGCTGGGTGGCAAAGGTGTTGGGCACATGACGAGCCCTTGCATACCCTCACCTACACACAGCAAATTGGGGCAACTTCACGGATTCAGAACAAGCTATGCACCAGGCGGATCCCTAATCTCCCTGTCTATAAGTAAATTACCTCTAAGTAGCATCTCCATATAGGAATGAACGCCTGATTTCGCCAGATCAAAAGAACAAGAAGGCCCAACCTAAACAAGACAACGAAAGATGTTAGAAATCAAAGCTAAAACAATGAAAGCAAAAGAAGTCACAAGAAAGAAGGAAATATGTACATCTTTCTCAAGTGACACACGACCATCAAATTGAGGAGGCCTAAACACCTCTTTCTTCTTATGATGAAAATTGACGTCGCTATCAGCATGAGCACCTTCAAGTGGTCGCTTGTTTATAATTTGTTGACGTTGCTACAAAACAAGTCCATCTTCGTACGAATCAACTTCATCACCCGCCTCTTCATAAGCATCTGGATGTCGAGGAGACAAGCACGAGTGTTAAGGAACTAAAACCACAAGTCTATCTTGCAAAGGAGCTGCACTCGCACAATCAAGAGCTACCATCTACGCAAGAATCACAGAACAACCCTCTCTCGACACATCATTATGTGAGTGAGAAGAATTTGTCCCACTTGCTAGCCCCAAGTTTTCATAATGTACCTTTAACCACCAATTTACGTAAGCACGGGTCACCGGATTGTTCTTGAACTCATCCTTGGCTGGCAGGATGATAGAAGCATTTGTACATGCATGGGAACAAGACTCTTAATACGTATACACGGCTTGCAGAGATTTCGACTGGGCGTTTTTCTTCAGCTTGCCTAGCATATGTTGGACAAAACCAAATTGCCTGCTGAAATGGTGGGGATTATACGGCTGAATGATGTATCGATCTCTTTGCCATAAAGAAACATACCCCGAGCGAAGTCTGATATTTTGCAATCGGCTGGGATTGGATGATCGGCAAGGAAGTCTGCTAGCGCTTATCCCTTGACGACTTTAGTTGGGACGTAGATGATCTCATATTGATTGAAAAGTAACGCCTATTTATAGAGTTGCCCTGTCAAGACTGGTTTGGACATGACGTATTTAATCGGGTTAGCTTTAGCAACCAAGTGGATGGTGTAAGCATGCATGTAATGTCTAAGCTTCTGGATGGCGAACACTAAGGCAAGGCACATCTTTTCTATTGGGGAATAGTTCAACTCAGCGCCAGTGAGAGTTCGAGTGAGGTAGTAAAGTGCTCTTTCTTTCTAGGATTCATTTTCTTGTGCCAAGAGTGCTCCAACTGAACTTTCCTGAGCGACGATGTACAATATGAGCGGTTTCCCGAGCATATGCATCCCTAGGACAGGTGGACTTAATAAATACTTGTTTATGCTCTCAAAGGCATTGTGGCATGCTTCGTCCCATACAAATGGAACATATTTCTTCATGAGTCGACTTAACGGTTGACAACGCCCTGCAAGGTTGAAGATAAAACATCTAATGAAGGCTAGCCATCCTTCTAGACTTTTCAGCTCGTGCAGGTTTCTTGGCTCAGGCATGCTTTGAATGTCCTTGATCTTTGATTGGTCCACTTCAATGCCACGGTGTTTAACAATGAAGCCGAGGAATTTTCCAGAGGTGACGCCAAATGCACACTTTAATGGGTTCATCTTAAGGTTGTATTTTCGCAGCCTTTTGAACATTATTCTCAAATCCTTCAAGTGATTTGATCTCTCTTTTGTCTTGACCACTACATCGTCTACATAATATTCTACGTTTTTGTGTAGCATGTCATTGAAGATTTTCTGCATTGCTCGTTGATATGTAGCTTCAGCGTTCTTCAAATCAAAAGGCATCATCTTGCAGTAAATACCCTTTGGAGTGCAGAATGCGATTAGTTCCTCATCTTCGGGAGCCATGCGAATTTGATTGTATCCATATGAGTCGTCCATGAATGACAGTGCCTTGTGGCCAGTGGTTACGTCCACCATGATTTCAATGATTGGCAAAGGAAAGACGTCTTTCAGGAAGCATTATTAAGGTCTCGAAAGTCCACGCAAACACATATTTGTCTAGATTTTTTAAGAACAATGACGATGTTGAAGATCCACTTGGGGTATTGCACCTCTCGAATGAAACCTGCTTCGATTAGCTTGTCAATCTCGGCCTCAATCTGTGGGATGAGCTCGGATTGATAGCGTATTTGAGTTTGCTTTATCGGTCGCGTTCCAGGCTTGACTGTAAGACGATGCACAGCAATGATAGGGTCAAAGCTGGGCATTTCCTTGTAAGTCCAAGCAAAGACGTCTTTGTACTCTAATAGATGTTGGTATTACTCATCTACCTCGTCCGCATTTAGCAGCGCACTTACGAAGATAGGCTTGGGCTCCTCTTTTGTTCCTAAGTTGAGCTCCTTGAGATCATCAACCGTGGCTTGCCCCCCATCCTCAAGCTGTGGTGGTGCAGCAGTGACGACTTCCTCAAGGATTTCATCTTCTTTACCTTCTTGGATCGTGATGTGGAAGACGTCTTGGACCTCATTTTTAGTGTCGTCCTTTCGGGCTTGTTGGCGTGAAGATTGGCCAGTGTAGATGATGGTGTGCATTCTCACTTTTAGTGGTCCAATTGTATCAACCTCCAAGATTGTTTGGCGCTTCATCCTTGAAGGAATAGACTTTCGAACGTCATATTTTTCTACCAGACTGTCGTGCTTTTCTTCTTTTGGCATTGTCTTTCTCTTTCCGGAAGGCTTCTTGGTTTCTTCAAGTCTTTCCAAAACTGATCGTCTCATTTAAGAGCTAGCCGTGTTTTGTTTCTTAGGTTTTGATAACCTTTCAAAAACAGAGCTTTGGGATGTTGGCGTGTTAAGCCTCTTAAAGACGGAGGTTCGGTCTTGACCACCAATGTGATTAAGTGCCGATATTCTGGGCCTTAAATGATTCATTCTATCGAAGACTGATGTCTAGGGGGCGGGTTTAGGCTCCTCTTGATCTTGTTTAATGCTCACACTAATATGTTGAGCATTAGCGTTTTTCGCTTTGTGTGAAATCTTCACAGGTGCATTTGGTGTGAAGCCAAGTCCAACTTTTTTGTTGTCAACTCTGTAACCATGCCCCTTCAACTAATTTTGAGTCTCGGTGAGGTCACGTTCTTTGTCGTTGATGGTGTTCAAAACCTTATTTCCAAGATTTGAAGAGGAAGTGAAGTTGTACCCAGCCTTCGACATGAGTTTGTAGACGTTTGGATCAAAACCTTCTTCGGTCCTGTTGGTTGGCAGAAAGCTTGGTTCCGCCCCTTTTGGCAAAGCCTTTATAAAGCCCTGTGGTGGTCTTGCAACCTTAGCGTCACCTAGCTGTGTCAGAGGCAAAACTGCATTCGTCTTGAGTAACCTTACATGATCATTGTGCCGCTATGTGTGGGCTTTGCTTGCTCTAGTTTCAAACGGGGATTGACCATTCTTTCTTCTCGACATCGGGATGTATCGGAAGACGGGTGTGTTCGGTCCTTTTGAGGGTGTCCTACTTCCTTTGGTTGTTGCAGGTTTAGCAGGCTTATCATCGTTTTTGCTTGAAGATGGCACAGTTTCTCTTTCTTGCTTCTTGGGCATGGTTTGCCGCTCCTTCCTTTTAGGTGTTGGTTTGCCTGTGGATTGGATCTCTTTTGGAAGAGCTTCGGGCACTATGTCTTCCTCCATGTAGAATTTGGTGTATGCGAAGTGTGATTCGACTTCGGTAAATGGCTTGGTATCGCCTTGGATCACCTTTACTCTTTTTGGTAGAAATTCAAGGCCTTCCTAAGAGCAAGTTGTAGGAAGTTCTTGCATCAATCACGTGGAATATCGTGCTTGATTTGAGTTCACCAATGGTCATCTCCACTCGGATCATGCCCATCGCTCTTTGTCTTTCTTGGTTAAAACTCTGGATTAGCAGACGGTTTAGGGATAGTTCATCCACCTTGATACCGATTGTGGTCATTGTTGACTTTGGCATGATGTTTATGGCTGATCCACCATCCACAAGCATGTGGTTGACTTTGTGCTCCTTTATGTACCAGAGACGAAGAAATGACGGTTGTGAGGCTTTGATCCTAGCAGTAAATCTTCATCGGTGAAGTTGATTGCATCACAGGCGGCACAACACATGGCATACTCATGTGGCCGAAGTTTCAAACCTTCGTCCTTGCTTTCTTACACTTCGTGGTCGTCGGGACTTGCTAGGATCGTTACTAGTGCTCTTCGTATCTCCTTGGACAATAGTAGCGTTTCCTTGATACTAAGGTATGTTGGTAGGCCTTCTTTGGGCGTGAGGGTCTTCTCTTCCTCGGTGGCAATAACTTTGCCTTTTGAGGGCTCTTCTATCTCCACTTCAACCATATGACAGGTAGCGACAGTGCACTGTTGGAAGAAGTCCTTCGGGAAATACTCGTGCAAGGAGACAGGAATTTATGACTCTTGCTCCACAGGTTCCCTAGCGTACGTTAGCTTCACAGCTTTTACGTTTCTTTTAGGCTTCCTACTGTCGTGGTGGTGGTGCTTTCTCACTTGTTCATCTTTTGACCGTGTGGCTTGTGGTCTTGGCTTCCTTGTTTTCTTGTAGGTCACCAGTGTCCACCCTTCTTCACCGCCAGTATGTGCATTTTGGTCGCTTGCCCCCAATGATGGTTGTGCAGAAGGTGCTATGTGGAAATTTTAATTATTGGTCAACATTTATTTCACTGAAATTTCAATGTCTACAACAACATCTGCCTGGAGAACAAATAAGGCAAGTGAAAATAATGCATTGAAGCATGTGGAGACAAGCGCAACAAAAACATGTGCTGGTTCATCCGTTACTTCTTCAAATGCAAAAGTATCTCAGATCATCAAGAATGTACTCTAGATTTGATGGATTTGTTTTTACCATCAAATTCTTGAGTCGGCTCGCTAAAGCATGGTGAACTACAAATGCTGATTCATTCTCGACGAAGCTGAATTTCACTTGCCTCGTGAAGCTGCTCGTGGTTCCATTCTATTCAAGAACAAGCATCGACGGCCCTTGAAGAAATCACAAGTCCGATTCAAGATCAAGTGTCCACCACATTTGAATCAAGTTCAGCTCCAGATAAAAGGAGTAAATTCAGACATTTGGTGCAAGTTTGACAGAAGAAACCCCCCAGCCCAGTTCAAGATTAAACTTATGGAAAGCTACTTCTTCAAAAGCAAAAGTATCTCATATCATCAGGGTAGAAAGCAAAAATATCTCATGGCATGCTTGTTCCCTATCTTTTCCTTTACCCTTGCTCTTACTTGCAAGACAAGGAGAAAGAAAGCAATCAGTCGGAACCTGAAATCAAACTTCTGATCTGGAACTAATTGCTCGGAACTTTTGCCTAGTTGCTTACCTGGCATTGCTCTCGAGTGCTCATCTTCAACTGCTGGTCTCAAATTTGCTTAGCAAATACCTCAGAACAGTTGATATGATATTGGCTCTTTACACTGAAACTACCAAGCATGGATGATTCGCTAAGAAGTGATGCTTTGAAGGACCATTTAAAGGTAGAAGGTTGCGCACCATTTCTGCCATACAAAAGAAACAAGCAAAGAAGAATGCAGCATGGTGGGCTGTAATAGATCACTATAGCATAACCGTATCTTAGTCAAATCCAAGCTTGGCATTGTTGCTTTAATCAAAGAGCTAGAGAAACTTCAACAACCTTTCGATGGCACCGTCGTCGAAGAGCAAAGCCTCGTCGTGCAACGCCATCAAATCGCCACCACCACCAGGGAACTCTCCTCTTACTTGCTCAGATCTCCAGCCCAGTTCAAGAATAAACCTGTGGAAAGTCAACGATTGGAGGAAACCAGAAAATCCTCCAACCCCGTTCAAGACCAAAGCCAAAGATCATCTACCACATGAAGCTCCTTGTTGTCCAATTTCATTCAAGATCAAGCTTCGACGGCCTTTGAAGAAATTTCAAACAAAATTCAAGAACAAACCTCAATGGCACTTGAAGAAAACTTTCAGCCCAATTCAAGATCAAGCCTTAGTGGCCCTTGAAGAAATTTTCAATCCGTTTCAAGATCAACCCTTAACGGCCCTTAGATTGATATCTACATTAAGAGACTTCAAAACACATTTCCTACACGTGACAAGTACATGTATACGACGCACCTCGAAGTGGGGGCATTTGTAGACATCGAAATTTCGGTGAAATAAATGTTGACCAATAATTAAAATTTCAACGTTCACGTGTCACATAAATTTTACACATAGCATGTAACTCAACGAAAATTTGAAAATCATTGAAAAAGTCATCAAACAGGACACATGTAACACCTGGAAATGATTTATTTCATCTGAATATTATATTCAAAATTAGGCTTTGAAAAAAATTCTATAAATACAAGTCCATTTCATCCATTTCAAATGACCAATTCACATACATTTCTCTACTCCCAATTTGGAAGAGAATTCCCCAAATCCTTGAAGCTTTGAAACTCTAAAGCTTTCAAGCATCCAACCTCCCAAATTCCTAAAAATCCCAAAGGATCAAGAAAGCTCTCTTCGTTCTTCGTCAAATCTTTGGAGAACTGTTTATCAAGATCAAGCCCTGAAGGCTCTTGAAGATCCGTTCATCTTGTCTTCAAGATCAAGCCCAGAAGGCCCTTGAAGAAATCCACACAACTGTTCATTAAGATCAAGCCCCGAAGGCCCTTGAAGATCCGTTCATCAAAATCAAGCCCCAAAGGCCCTTGAATATCCGTTCATCCGTTCATCAAGATCAAGCCCAAAAGCCCCTTGAAGATCCGTTCATCCATCAATCTTCAAGATTAAGCCCAAAGGCCCTTGAAAAAACTTCCCTCAACCTTCAAGATCAAGCCCTAAAGGCCCTTGAAGTAACTTCCAACCGTTCATCCAAGATCAAGCCTCGAAGGCCCTTGGATCAACAACACAATCCTCAAATTTATGCCTTACGAAAATCGAATCAGATGACCAAATTATAAAGAAATTGTAACCTCAAAATCATTAATACAAAATATTATTTTGTACATGTGTTCTTGTCTCATTCATCACAGGAAAATTCGTGTTTACACATACAACTCGTTCATTTGTGTGCTTTGAGTCCCGAGTGGTAATAATTTCACGTTCATTTCTCTGTGTCACTTAAAATTGAGAACAGTGGAAAACTATAGATAGGAATGGAGGGAAAGGATGAAAGAGTTAAGGGGAACTTTTATTGTAGGTAAAGTTCTCATGGTTTAAATTCGATAATTGAAAAATAGATCAGTCATCAAGCTAGAGGAGAGAAAAGGTAGGGGTATCAGTGGTTGAATTGTACGGTGTTTGTATTGGTAGAATGACTTGATAAGTACATAGATAATAAATCCAATATGACATATACGAACTCTAGTACTACTGGAATAGAGCAACTGTGACATGTATGGAATTCGAGTTGGCTTGTCATTGCCAAAACTAAAAGTGGATGTATTTTGTAATGGTCTCTTAATAATTTCAACGTATCTATCAACAACCATGCCAATTTTTCTAGTGGGTGTTTGGTGATGATAAAGCCATGGAGTGATGGTACTAGAAGTTGTTCTATTGGTAGCTCGTCTCTTTAAAATATTGTAGAGTTAAATTTTATTGGTACTCGTACCAAAATACAATTCTAGCTTTGAAAAAACGGGTTGGTTTTCCCCTTACTAATCAATTTTATAGCTATAAATGCTCACCATTTGTGTTTTGCTTACTTTTAGATGGAAGGGTTTCAACTTCCGAGTCAGACCCGTGAACTGGGTTCAAATTGAGCGGAAGAGGCATGACAAGGTAGTCATTGCAGACGTGAAAGCAACCTCTAGCAAGTTTTCTCATTTGACGATACCCAAATGACCTGCAAGGACTTTCAGTCTTTAACTTTTTCCTCTTTGGGTGGTGATTTTTCAGGAAAGAACGGTGGAAGAGCTCAAGAAGTTCATGGAGAAGATTATGAAGAGAGATCTGAAACGTCAAAAGAAAATTGAGGCCGCTGGTATTGATTATAAATGCCCAGAAATTGTAAGAATGTGGTCCTGTTCACGGTTGTATATATTCTTTTCACTATTGAAGCGATGTTACTTAAACATTTCATCGTACATCCATTTTTCAAGGTTGATTTAGCAGTTAAATTGTACATGTATTTGGTTCTTGGCAGGAGGGTGGTGGTGAAGAACCTGCTCCAAAGAAAAGGAAGACCGACCAGAAGAAGGTATGTCATGTTTTTTGTTTGTACCATTTTCTGGAAGATAAGACATATGTAGTCATCTCATCTCATCTCTTCTATGGCAGGTTGTTTCGAAATGATGAAGCGCACACGCTCGTCTCTGTCCACCCCTTCCGCCGGGAACAAGGCAGTTATGGATTTCTGGAGAATTTGGGCTTGAGTTTTGAATCTCATCTAACAAATATAACCTCTTGTAGTTTTTTTACGACCTTTTTCATCACTCTTCATGTAATGTAATCGTGCATTGTCCATCGACAAGTTTTATTAACATCAGTTTTTTAAGATATCCCATGTTGTGTTGTTGAGAAAAGAAACAGCAAATCTCAAGTGTTTTACTCTCGTTTAGGCATTACGTTGTTAGACGTGGTTTTCGCACTCATTTGGTATCTTAGGAACGGACAATCGGCATACTCGCACGCTCGTGTCGTGAAACATCCTACTTACGGCCTTATGGCCAAATGATCGAACTGATCAAGCACTCCCCCAAAGATCATGCATGAACCAATTCAAGAAATGGTTTAGCAATTTGAGTATAGTTAACATGAATCGAATTGAATGTGCGTGTGAAGTTTTGTAGTATGTTTCCACGGATCAATCAACACTTTTTAGTGCGGCAGAAGGCCACGGCAATGGCCTCCGGCCTCCCGGTGCAGAAAGATACCGATAGCCACTAGAAAATAAAATGTTGATAGACTTAATCCTAAAGTTTTGACCTCAAAAGAAATACCACAGGAATAATATACGTCTTTAGTCACTCACGAATATGGGGAGCAAAAGAATAACAATTTCTCGCAAAGGCTACTATAAGATGTTAGTATGAATAACATGTGTTATGATACAACTGTTAGTGATGACATATATATAAATGCGATACCAAATGCTTGTAATGCATGAAGATACGCTAAATACGGTGTTTTATAGGTCACAATCTTGAACTCGAATCACAGAAAAGGAAACAAAAAGGAAAGGTCTCAAAATCATCTAGGCATGGAAGATGTGCACCCCATTCCGAAGAATCACGAGTTTATCCACCCACCAGATACATGGCCCCTAGAGGTATTTTCGTGCAAGGGCACGGACTTTTGTATCAAAATGTGATGACGCAATTCGCGAACCAGGCAGGTACAGGGGATTAAGAAGAGTCTGCAAGTTCACAAACATCTTATGAGTCAATGATCGGTTCATGTGTTTGTGTTATGAAATGGAAATTGTGTAATGAAACAATTAACAGTGTGAAATGGAAATGGAAACTGTGTAATGAAATAATTAACAGTGTTTAGACAAATCTCAAGATTCTGTGAAATGACAAACTAATTTCCTTATTTGGATTCGCCAGAAAAGGAAAGACAAAAACTCGGTATTTAGATTTCATGCATCCTAACTTTAAAATCTACCTCAATCCCAAAATCTACCATCACCATAACCACCATTAACACCACCACCCACCGTCATGGCCCCCACCATTTATACCACCCTGCCACCACTTTACCACTAGCACCATCACCACTACTAACATAAACTTTACCCGTCACCACCGTCCATTTACAAATAATTGATACCTCCATACACAACTTTGAATTTCGTAGTTAAATCTCATCATGTAGGTTAGCCAAACAAGAAATGTTACAAGTGCTATAACTTATCCCGTGTTTTAAGTGTCATCAATTTGAAATTTTAGCACTCTTAAACTCCCACACCCAAATCCATTATAAGAGATAAGGCTTGGGAAAAATGTTACCCACAGAACCCATGCTTAGGCTTCTCCACCAAGTCACATTGACAGAAATCTCAAAAGTTCTTTTACAAGACGAGACTTGTACTGGAAGGCTCTTAGGTTTGAAGATAGGATACTGGATACCACCCCAAATTGCATTCAATTCATATTATAATATGTTGGTACGGGAATTCACGTTAAACTGTGAGGTGGCAGAGAGTCCATGGAGAGTCCCACTTTTGAGAGTCTCCTTAGCATTTCTCTAACAATAAAATGGAAAATTTTGCTAGTCATAGATGGACTTGGAACACATATTAGACGAAAAACAATACTCAGGATTGTGCAAATACTGCTTTGAAAGAATGTGCAAATTTGTATACATACGTGTCAAAAGATTAACAGCACAAGTGTGTACATTATCAAACAAAATTATTTCCAAAGCCATATTTTGTAATACACAAATGAAAACGCTGTTAATCATATTTAGAATGCCCACACAGACACACATAATGTATATTTTTTCTACATATTTTCTTTTCAGTGATATTGCCAGTGAATTTCTACTCTCTAACTTCTATAAGACTATTCACCTATTCACCCAAGATACCACCAGAGAATCTTCCTCACAAGTAGTTTCATTTTCAAAAAAAATGTGAGCTTATTTGCTTGTATCAGAGGATATTCGTAACAGTAACGAGAAGACTGAACAAGTCAAAGGTTTCCTAGGCACTAACAACTGATCATGACCATTTATATTTCAATCTCTTGCTTTGTTTTGGTTCCCAATGCATTTATAGTTCCAGAGAAACACTGAACTAGAAATAGTCTTCAAAAAACGGAGATTCTGAACTATGCATTCTATAGGAATCAAATTGATTTGGGTCCTAGGCACTGTAACTACGTGCTTTCTAATGAGAGCTAGCCCTTTTGCTAAGCAACAATAATTAAAACTTAGCTATCCAACTTCTACTTTTCCTAATTACAAAACGCATAGCAGAAAATACATAGTTCACCTCTATTCATCTCATGCCATCCCAAGGCTACAAGATTAGAAGTATAGAGTGTAGATGACATAGGGATTCCACAAAGAACACATCAAACATTAAGAACCTGCGGAATTGTAAAAATGAACTTTAAATAAAGGGCTGATGGAATGTAGTGACTTACTTTGATATAAAGCTCATGAACCTCTTGGAAGAAGCTCTTGATTCCATCATCGTTACGAGAGTCATGAAGTAGCATAAGTCGTGTATGTATGCATAGTTAAAGAAAATGTCAAACTGGAAACTGTACGCTACCTAACAGAGTACAACTAGGCACAAAACGAGGAGACCTTTCACTCAGCCTTGACAACTATGGCAACAGCAATGAATATGGAAATTAAAGACAACATAAGTATATATATTCAGCATCGTAGTTATGCCATCTGCTGACATTATCAATGTTATAAGTTAAAGACACTTTCTTGATTTAAAAAACAAAGGAGTTGCACAAGAACCGGCACAGAAAATAACACATCATCAATAAACATACAATTCTAAGATAGGTGGAGTTGACACAAATATTTGAACTGAAAATATGAAGGATATGACCAGCCGTAACATAGACGGAAACCACCAGATCATTAAAGCGATCGATTGCTTTCAAGTACCTGCACCGAAAATGTCACAAAGATCAATAATATGCGTAAACGAGTCGACGAGAGGAGCATAGAGGGTACAGAAAAAAGTGGCTGGCTCACATGGCACTGGTAGTCCAGGCAAGGTCCTGCACAATATCGAGGGCGGCATGTAATATGAACTGATGCAACTGAGCAGCATCTTCTCTCTGTGTCAAAGTGTCAAACCAACACCCATTACCCATCTGAGTACTTAGCCATACAAACACAAATATTCTGATGAATTTACAAATTATTAACTACATTGCCTAGCACGAATGTGTTCCGCTCTACACCCGAGTTTGAATCTCCCTCCCCGCAGTTTAGATTACTTAAATAATAATTAAACAAAAATAACAGAAATTGAATCATTAAACAAAAATAGCAGAAATTGAAGCAAGCATTGTAGATGCAGAGATTGCCAAGAAATGAAGAAACCCACTTTAATTAATTGAAAATTCGATTTAAGTTGATGAGATTTCGAGAGAAATCATTTGATTGATTGTCGCGAGGAATCAAGCAATGGAAATCAGAAATTGAAAGGGAAAGAGAGAAAGAATGATACTTTCGCGGCGGATCCGACTTCAGCTTCGTAAATAGGGATGTCGCTTCTGCTGACGATGATGAAACACGCCGTCGTCGCCATCTGATCTCCCTCGCTCTCTCTCTCTCTCTCTCTCTCTCTCTCTGCTCTTTTTTCCAGCGAGATGGCCTCCGACGACGACTCACTGAGATGATGAAATGGTTAGGGGTATTTTTGTCAAAAACCGTATTCTCCAAACGGCGGGCTGAATAGAATCTGGCTAAAAAGAATGAAAGCCCAATTGGGCCAAGGAGTGTGTACATGTAGCAAGTCCGACAGAGATTTTTTAATATGCCGGAAACACGAAATGATGCTCGATATGTCATTACACAAGTGGAGAAATTTTTTTTTTCAAGTATCCCTCCACTTGTATAATGACATGGTGTAGGGACCTGCACAAGTAAAGCTAAAGATCATCACCTTTCTTGTTTGTGAGTAGGTGATGTTCCGGCATACTAAAAAACTCTCCAACTCCGGAAGCCAGAGTGGTAACACACTTCCTTGTATCGGCACAAATACCATCGTGGCAATGTATTCGTGTCACACAAGTTGGTCTCCTGATTCAGCCACCAAAACTACACATGCCAAGGCTAGCATTTGGGAACAGTGGCTTTCAAGAACATAGCAAGCTGCTAGCATTTGGGAAACGTTAACTCATAGGAAGTAACAGATGAGCAAGGGCTAGGATTCAAGCCCATTTTAGCCAACGGACTAAAGCTCGGCGCATCGCTTGCCATGGTGGCGGAACAGATTCCATGGCTGCGGTGGATGTTCCCCCTAGAGGAAGAGGCATTTGCCAAGCATGGGGCAGGACGAGACCGGCTCACTAGGGCAATCATGGAAGAGCACACACAAGCACGCAACAAGAGCGGTGGTGCCAAGCAAAATTTTGTGGATGCGGTCGCTTGCATTGCAAGAGAAGTATGACCTTAGTGAGGACACTATTATTGGACTTCTTTGGGTGAGTGGCAATATATGGTGTCAGCAAATGGTTTCCACACTCTTTTATCCGCTTGTAGCTAGTCTTCCTCTTATATTTAGTCACATGATTGAATAAATCAATGATAAATCAGGTATCGTTTGGTATGCAGACGGGACGGGAAGGAACAAAATGGGATGGGACGGGACGGGACAAGACGGGACGGAATGGAGAGAGAGCAAAGATGCCCTCGGATGGAAACAAGGAGGAAGAAGGAGACGGAGATGTTATAATTTTGTGTTCCACGGATGTGGAACGAGTCGTTCCAGGGGGTGAGGTGGGACGAAAATTCATCCAAAATTTGTTTCGTGGAACAGCACGTTCCACCCGTTTTAGGCGCACCAAACGTGGGAAAGAACGCCTCGTCCTATTCCATTCCGTCTCGTCCCACGTACCAAACGGTACCCCAAGGAACCAAAAACAAACAGAGAAGTGAGGAAGGATAAAATGAGAGTGAAAAGTATAGAATGACTTAATTGTTTCTTTTTTTGCACGACGTGATTACAACGGGTATGGACACCACATCCATTTCAATTGGATGTGACATGGCTGAGTTGATCAAGTACCCAAGGGTGCAACAAAAGGCACAAGAGCAACACTGGTCATGTATAAATACAAAGATTGCTAAATTTAAGAAGATGAGACTTGAGAGTGCTCGAGTAGAGATTGACGAAGACTCTACTCGTATGGAACATGTTCTTGGCTTCAAGTACTTTAAATGATGAAATTAACTCCATTCTGTTAAGGAAGACTAACATAATTTCTATTTGGACTGTAATTGTTAACAGAGTTCTAGAGTACATTCGTTCAAAACTTGTGCTTTTAAAATTCAAAAAAAAAAAAAAAAAACTTCTACTCATAAGCGCTTCTATTAGAAGCACATTGAAATTTTTATTGAAAATAATAGTTTTTTTTTTGGGAAAAATGGGGCTAAAAGTCCAACCAAAACTATTCAATAATAAATCTAGACCAAGACATTCTAAGTTGATCTTCACTAGTGGAACAAAAAGAAATATTATCAAAATAAAAATTGCCTAAATCTAAAGTAAGATTATAATTCGCCAAACTATCCACCACAATAACAATTTCTCTGTAGTAGACGTGCTGAAGTTCGCAATGCCAAATTTTGATAACAACTCTCGACATGCCAATACAAGGGAACCCAAATGATTCTTTCTATAAACTTGCAACACCAAAGAACTTGAAGTGCGACACACATCAAGTGCTTTTTTGAACCTACAATACTTCTTACCTTTTTTTGTTTATCCAGTAACATCATCACCAACCTTTGATTCCTTCATCCTTACGCAGAGCTTGATGAAGTCCCTATCATCGATCCTGGCTTTACCAACCACCATCCAACAAAACAAAAGTATACAAAAAGAAAGAGTAAAAAGTCTTCACCAACCACCATCACTAACCCAATAACTTCCTTCCCCACACCGCACTCAGCCACGAACCACATCAATTAATAATACCACGGATAAGCAATCCAACCATATCCTCGGGTAATTACTATTTTCTATTTCATCTGCCGCAACGCATTAGAATGTGGGTGATCAGTCTCCTTCTAAAAGGGAAAAGGATCCCCGGAGATTTCGAAGATCCTATGATTGTGATCATTCATTGTATATCGTGCAGTTAGAAATCATTTAAGATTTAAAATTAAATATAAATAGTACCTAAAGAAAATTGATTGCACGATATACGATAAACAATCACAATTATGAATCATTTTTCTTCTAAAAGTAGTACACCTCTTGAAAATAATTTTAAAATAGTTAAAAACGTTTTTAATAAAAGTGTTTTTTCGAATCAATTGTTTCAAAAGTTACAAATAAATTCTGAAAAAAAAAACTTTTTTACTTTCTATAATAAGCCTTTTAAGTATTTTGAAAACAAAATTATTTACTTTAAAAATATTTTCAGTCATTTTAAAAATAATTTCAAACAGTCCCAACACATCTGAGTTGGTACTTTTCACTCTCACTCACCAACTCCCCTGCTCCAAATTTCATACGCTTTAGTGGGTCACCCACACAAATCCATTCACCAACTCTCTCTCTCTCTCTCTCTCTCTCTCTCTCTCTCTCTCTCTCTCTCTCTCTCTCCCCCCCCCAATGCAAATCCATTCACCAACTCCATCCCAAGTGTCTTTCATATATATCAATCTCCCTCCAACTCTGACCTTAATTTGCTCAATCAATCCAACATGGCTCTCTCCGGCGGACTACTGTTTCCCATCTCATCAATCATCATTCTCATTTCCCTCGCCTACAAGCTCTACCAAAGGCTCAGATTCAAGCTCCCGCCCGGCCCACGTGCATGGCCGATCGTCGGCAACCTCTACGACATTAAGCCCGTGAGGTTCCGCTGCTACGCCGAGTGGGCCCAGGAATACGGCCCCATCATATCGGTGTGGACGGGGTCCACGCTGAACGTGGTGGTGTCGAGCTCGGAGCTGGCCAAGGAGGTGCTCAAGGAGCACGACCAGAAGCTGGCGGACCGGCATCGGAGCAGATCGGCCGCGAAGTTTAGCAAGGACGGTCAGGATCTTATCTGGGCTGACTACGGGCCCCACTACGTCAAGGTCAGGAAGGTCTGCACTCTGGAGCTCTTCTCTCCCAAGAGGATCGAGGCTCTCCGACCCATTAGGGAAGATGAGGTCACCGCCATGGTTGAGTCCATTTTCAAACATTGCGCCAATCCTGGTACGTATGGCTTCTAATTATATATTTAATTTTTTGTTTTCATGAATTTACTTATTTCATATGCCACAATCAATTTTTTTTGTTAATTAACCGTTATTATCTTGAAAAATTGGCCAAAATTATCTTGTAAGTTAAATTTCAATTGTGAGAGTCCAAACTAAATAATTACGATATACAATCAAATATAAATGACATGGCTATTTGATGTTGATGAATAAAAATCTGATATTAATCATATACTAAAAAACCGATAATTTCAATAATTGAATTTTTAAAAGTGATCATTTTGGCCAATTCTTATATTATCTTTGCAAGAAATGAATGGTAAATTTCAATGAAATTGTAAAACAATATATAACATCATTGAACATTTTCCTTTTTGCTAGTAATTGTTGTTTTGTTTTTGTTCAAACGACGAAAATCAGCAGTGAAATTTTTTGTTCTCTTGTATGTTATATATATATAATATAGTGCAGAAAGAGTCGTTCTGGTTTTGATTTAATGAAAACTAATAAAAATGACTTGAAATTTTTGAATTTTAACGATAAAAACAAAATAAAGTAGTGAATAGTACTATGATTGATTTTTTAATGTAAAAATATGATTTTTCGTTAAAGTAAATAGTATCGAAAACTTTTTATTAAGTTCCATTTTTTTTATTCACTATCAATATATGTTCTCAAATTGGTCAACTAAAATATAGTGCAGGAAGAGTCTGGTTTTGATTTATTCGCTGTCAATATATGTTATCGAATTGGTCAACTAATTAGGGGTATCGTGGGAAATAAAGGGGAAAAGAATAGAAAAGTCAACGATTAGGTGCTTTGTCACGTGTGTCGTGTTTCCTTGACCTTGAACAGCATCTAGCTTCCCAAATATGTTTCTGCCCATTTGGGCCTTGTGACTAGATTATATGGTCAGGGAAGAAATCTGAAATTTGTGAACCGCATTAGCCGTTCGCTTTCAGGCTGGGCAATAAGGGTCTATCATGTTTACCAAGAAAAAAAAAAAAAAAGGTTCTATTCTAGTGAGTTTTATGGATCCATTGGTCCATAGGCTTCTCATTTGTAATAATTATATAGTTTTGATTCTCATAAAGGGAAAAGAGAATTTTCGGTAGAGTTGACTATTAGGACAACTGGTTCAAAATTAAGAAGAGTTTTGTACATTTGGAAAAAAGTGTACGTGTAGTACAAATGACTTGAGGACAACTGGTTCAAAATTAAGGAGGGTTTAGTACATTTGGAAAAAGTGTATGTGTCGTATAAATGACCTGGTACGAACGTCCCTATAAGTACATAATACATATCAATATGTACACTTGGAATTTATTTGAGAGGTCATATTTCATTCTAATTGGAGTTTCGACTGTAAATCTTCGAGTTAAATACATGGTCAAATATAACTTTGTATTTGACTTAAGAGTCATATACGAACTTTTACAATGCATAATGAAGAGAAAATAAAAATTAAAAAAAATTGATATCAAATATAATTGTTGTCTCTAACATTTTTATTGCATTGGAGGCTTTCCACAGTGGTTTATGTGAGTTTGATGTTTATAAATAAGAATTAAGAAGTGGTTTATGTGAGTTTGATGTTTATAAATAAGAATTAAGAAGTGCGAGTTTGATTTGTATTACACTATTGATACAGTGTGAGTTTGATAGGAGTTAGTTTTTTATATTAAATATTGGACTTGTCTACTTTTACATTTTTTCTATTTTATAATTGGCCACTTTTTTCCTCTCTTATCATTATTGTATAAACATCACACTCATGAGTTCAATATATTAAACTAAAAAATAAGGATCACTCTCATTGAACTCAAAATTTCCTTCTCACTGTAGGGGTTTGATTCTTATATTGTTAGTATCACACTCAATTTTCTCGACTCACTGTGGAAAACCTTGCACTTATATTAAAGCATTAAATATAGGTTTACAAATCTAGTACCAATGGATCGGATAAAACTAGTATCGTATAAGTATTAAATTTTAATAATAATGTATCGACTCATCGTTGGATCAATACATCTTAATATATCATGAGAAATTTTAAGAGGATTCTCTTAAAAGTGACTCTTTATGGACTTTCTGTCATGTTACAATTTAACATCAATTCTTATACCAACATTATAATGCATTGTGTAAAAAAACATAGAGTGGCAAAGAGTCCATGAAGAGTTTCACTTTTTTTAGAAAGTACCCTTACCGTTTCTCATATCTCATGGTCATAAAGTCACTTATTAATTAATTAAATTAGCACTGTGGGGTTGGTAAATATGAACCGTAATCTAGCTAATGCTAGTGAGAATAAATTTGTAGACCAAGTTTTTGTAAACTAAATGATATGAAAGTTGATGATTGGATTATTACTTGAGTAATGATTAACGTGTTTATTTCTTATTGGTGACACATAATTTAGTTTGTAAATTTAATCTCCCTAACTACAGTACTAGCCCACAGTGTCGTATGCACATATTTCTTTGATTAATGATAATCGTTGACTTTAATTCCCCTAATGCAGAAAACTATGGAAAAAGTTTGCTAGTGAAGAAGTACTTGGGAGCAGTGGCTTTCAACAACATAACAAGGCTAGCATTTGGAAAACGTTTTGTTAACTCAGAGGATGTAATTGATGAGCAAGGGCTAGAATTCAAGGCCATCGTAGCCAACGGACTAAAGCTCGGCGCATCGCTTGCCATGGCGGAGCACATTCCGTGGTTGCGGTGGATGTTCCCCCTGGAGGAAGAGGCATTTGCCAAGCACGGGGCACGACGAGACCGGCTCACTAGGGCTATCATGGAGGAGCACACACAAGCACGCAACGAGAGCGGTGGTGCCAAGCAACATTTTGTGGATGCGTTGCTTACATTGCAAGATAAGTATGACCTTAGTGAGGACACTATCATTGGACTTCTTTGGGTGAGTAGTTATTAAAAGGCTTTCGGAAAATGATTTTCACACTCCAACTTTATCACCGTGCAGTCTCCTGAATGTTTCTAATAATTGTGTCGCGTTTGCAGGACATGATTACTGCGGGTATGGACACCACAGCCATTTCTGTTGAATGGGCCATGGCCGAGCTGATCAAGAACCCAAGGGTGCAACAGAAGGCTCAACAGGAGCTGGATGGGGTTATTGGGGTCGAACGGGTCATGACCGAAGTTGATTTCTCCAGCCTCCCTTACTTACAATGTGTAGCAAAGGAAGCCCTACGGTTGCACCCTCCAACACCACTAATGCTCCCCCACCGAGCCAATGCCAACGTTAACATCGGCGGCTACGACATCCCCAAGGGTTCGAACGTTCACGTAAATGTTTGGGCAGTAGCGCGTGACCCAGCGGTTTGGAAAGCCCCAAATGAGTTCCGACCCGAAAGGTTCCTCGAGGAGGATGTGGACATGAAGGGGCATGATTTTAGACTACTTCCATTTGGAGCGGGAAGGCGAGTATGCCCCGGAGCCCAACTTGGTATCAACTTGGTGACCTCTATGTTGGGCCACCTATTACACCATTTTAATTGGACTCCGGCGGAAGGGGCGAAGCCGGAGGAGATTGACATGTCGGAAAATCCAGGGCTCGTCACATACATGAGAACCCCGTTACAAGCCGTGCCTACTCCTAGGCTGCCATCACAGTTATACAAACGTGTCGCTGCAGATATGTAATCTGTAGCGTTTCTTATTTTTCTTGAAGACATGTTAAATGACCTCCTTAAATTTGAAATGATGTTTGTATTTCTCCTAAAAATATCGGTGGCCCATGTCCTTCCAAACAAATAAATAGGGACAGTTGAGACCAGAAATAATGGACCAAGATTGTCTCCCCTCTCACTTTTCATCATCTCCTACTTTTCTAGCCATTGATTTCATAGTTATTTTAATGCTCCAGATTTTGCCACCTCACCAACAACTCCAAAACATTTTTAAGGCCCAATTTCCTGACTTCTTTTTGCTGCTTTCCCGCCTCTAAAGCATCTTTTCTCCCACCTCTTCCACTTTTCCTAGACTTCACCTCCCACCGATTCAATAAGTTTGATCTTCTCACATTTTGCAACTCTATCCTTATGCCATTTCACACTGCTGCATCTTCATTGGGTCTTCCCAAGTTTGTTTATGTAATTTTTTTTGCTTGTTTTTGCTCCTTTTTGCTATTGGATTTGTATTTTCTTTTTTATAACATGTTGGGGTCCTCTTTTTCCGGTTTAATGTGTCCCATTATTTGTTCTTCTAGAGTAATTGAGAAAATTTTTGAAGTATACTAATTGATTAAAGCCCGCAACCTCCGTAAAGAAACATATACTTTGAAATGTTGATTTTTTTTCTTTTCCATAGCTTTTTCTATATTGCATATACGGTTGAAAATGATTGATTTTGAAGAAGCAAATAATATCAACAATGATAAAATGGTTATTAAGTTGAATAGATCTAATGGAAGGTTTTTTGTGCATGAATTTGAGGAACAACACAATCATGCTCTTCAGAAACCAGAGTGTGCACATATGCTACCATCTCAGCAAAAAATATCAAACTCTCAGGCTGCTGAGTTAGACTTGGCAGAAGAATCTGGTATCCTACTTCGTTCGTCTAATGAGTTGATGGCTAAGCATGTTGGAGGAAGGGAATCTCTTGGTTGTGCAAAGGTTGATCAAAAGAACTATCTTGTGTCTAAAAGGCAAAGAAAAATGGTGTATGGTGAAGCAGGAAGCTTGTTGAGATATTTTCAAAGTAAAACAGTTGTAATGGAAGCATGTATTGGCATGCAATCTCATTTTCCAACCAAGGCACTCTTACTTTTGTCTTAGCATCAAAACATGATATAAAACAGAAACAAAGCAATGTAAAATGCTTATAAAAAACAACGTCATCTTAAAGGCAGATAGGAGGGGCGGGAAAGGCAGCAGAAAAAGTCCGCAAAATTGGACTTTAAAGATGCTTTGGAGTTGTTGGTGAGGTGGCAAAATCTAGAGCGTTAAAATAACTAAACATGAAATCAATGGCTAGAAAAATAGGAAGGGATGGAAAGTGGGAGGGGAGACAATCTTGGTCCATAAATAATTCACCCAACACTCTATGTGTGTCTCTTTTGTCCACTCATCCTAAAAAGCAAGGGAACTGAATATTTCAAGTGATGTTGATGCACAAAATCAGCGAGGACTTTGGTACAACAGAAAGTGCTAAGTTTGTGACCTTCGCTAGATTGCTCTAGTCACTAGTATGGATAAGTATTTAAATTGATAGAGATAGGGAAGCAAACACAAGATGTACGTGGTTCACCCAGATTGGCTACGTCCACGAATGAGAGGAGTTCTCATTAATTGTGAAGGGTTTACACAAATACATAGGTTCAAGCTCTCCTTTAGTGAGTACAAGTGAATGATTTAGTACAAATGACATTAGGAAATATTGTGAGAGAATGATCTCTATTTATAAAAGAGAGTTTCTAGTTTAATTCTGACATTGACACGTGTCGTGTTGTGATTGGCTTCTGATGTTGACATGTGTCATGTTGTGATTGGCTTCTGATGTTAACACGTGTCGCGCTATGATTGGCTTTTGATGTCGACATGTGTCGCGCTGTGATTGGCCTCCTGGTTGGAGGAAAACTCTTCTAGGTCCTTGACGGTATAACGTTGACCGGTGCTCAGTAGTTTCGGGATTGGTCAAGTATGGTACAAACAAGTGAGAATCTTCAAATCACATTTGTTCATCATACATCGTGCAGTCAGAAATCATTGCAAATTTTTTTTATTTAAAATGAAATATAAACAGTACTTGACAAAAACTGACCGCACGATGTACGATAAACGGATGTGATTTGAGAATTCTCGAGATCCTCACAAAAAGAATTCGGCGAGGATCCTCTCTCTATTTCCCTAACACTCTGTGTGTCTCTCTCATCGACTCATCCCAAAAAAACAAGGAAATTGCTAGCCAGACTGGCTAGCAAAACAAGTCTAGCAAGACCCGTTAGACAAGTTTTATTTTCATCCCTTTTTCGATACTGCTAGCAAAGCAAATCCAGCGAGACTCACTAACACGTGTTATTTTCATCCCTTCTTCAACGGACAAGGATTGTCTGCCCTTCCACTTCCGGTGCCCTCCTGTTTTGTGTGGTCACGATTAAGTCACGTTAACATTTAATATTGTTTTTTTATAGAAATAATAAGACAAAAATAAATAGTAATATAAAATATTGATGCGGCTTAACTGTGACCACACAAATAGAAAAGCACAAGAGAGCACCGAAAATGGAAGGGCAGATAATCTATATAATCTATGTCCTTCAATGCGGCTAGCAAAGCAAGTCTAGCAAGACTCGAATGGGTCTAAGTCTTCAATACAAGTTGGGACCCATTTCATTTGAAAACGAAAAATAAAATAAAAATGTTTATGAAAAACTTGAATGAGTCGAAGACTTCATTACAAGCTGGAACCCACTTCTTTAGAAAACAAGAAATAAAATAAAAATGTTTATGAAAACTTGAATGAGTCGAAGACTTCATTACAAGCTGGAACCCACTTCTTAGAAAACAAAAAAACAAAATAAAATGGTCATCGTAAACCCACTTCTTACTCATTTTACCCTTTAAACTTCGGATGCAAACTGTATGCCCTCTTATTTACATGGTCTTTCCATCCTCTCTTATTTGTACGATCATGGTTAAATCACATAAATATTTTATATTTTTATTTTTTTTTATCTTATTATCTCTATAAAAAAATTAATATAAAATGTTGACGTGGCTTAACTGTGATCGCACAAAATAGGAGAGGATGAGAAGGGTACCCAAATAGGAGGGCAGACAATTTACTTCCTTAAACTTCAACATTTGAGTTTAACTCAGTGTTTAAGCTCATAGTTATGATTACATTTATATTAAATGAAAAAAAGAAGAAGAAAGAATTAACATTGTAAATCAATTAAGTTAGATGTTAGCACTCTTGAAAAGAATTATGATCACAATATCAAGTATAGTTTCACCAGGACTATGCTCGACTTCTTATAAACTCAACAAGAAAAAAGCATCATGATTTATCATACCATATGTAAATGTTCTTGTGTATTTAATTAAAAACGACACAAATAAATATTGGCATATTACTTTTGTTAAAAAAAAAAAGGGCAAAAGACTGTTTACTACCCTCGAGTTTCGTGGTTTTCAACATTTGGTACATGAAGTTTTTTTTGTCCTAAAGTCATACCTAAAATGTTAATTTTGGGACAGTCTCATACATCCGTTGGTCTGGGCGTTAACTGATGATGTGGTGCCCATATGGACAATGACTAGACGCCACATGTCATTAAGGGTCCACGTGAAAATTAAAAATTTAATAAAAAAATTTTGGCTTCCTCCCTTATCCTGCCATTATCTCCCTGCACCAACCCACCAAACCCTTTGTCCTCTTCTCTCCATTTTCTCCACCGCACTTGCATAAGCATCAAAAGCCTTAACGCAATCCGGATACTCCATATCTAAAAAATTACCAAGCAAAACCGCCAAAACCTCCATTCTCTCCATATCAAAACGCAAGAGGAACCGGTTCCACAAACCTCAACTTGGGCTTCGAGAATGCCGATCGGGAAAACGAAGCTCGTCGGGAAGTGGGTTCGGCTGGGATTTTCGACAGCTTCCCCGGCGGCGGCGAGGGACTCGACTTTGGGATTTTTGGAAAAGCAAAGTCGAAGACCCTGAGGCTCTGATGCTCTGTTAGTTGCAGAGAATGGTGCGGCAGAAATCGTGCGACTGCCAACCCTTCTCTCTCATCTCCTCTCTCTCCCCCCTCTCTCCCCGCTCTCCCCTCTGTGTTTCATAACATTAGACTCTCTCTCCTCTTCCTTTCGGAGAGACATACAAATACTCCCTGGCGCGGCCCCTCCTTCGATTTTTCCTTTAATATTTTTTTCAATTTTTTATTTCTGAATCTCACCCATTCGAACCTAGCTGCAACAGTACAAAGTTCTCAACTTTTCCCCATCCGAGCTGCTATTTAGGTAAATTTTCAGAGCTCCCCCAATTTGAATTTTCAATTCAAAATTTCAATTTCTAGGGTTCATTTCGATTTGGGGTTGTTTGGAATCTGTGCTTTCTTTGGTATTTTTGGTTATTCCATCGTCGGTTATGGCCTTCTGAGATGAAAAGGCCATGGGCGTCCATGGCTGCTGCCGTGTTTGCTTAGTGTGAGAGGCTAATTTGCTTTTGGGTTTGTGTTTCTCTTGCTAATTTTGGATATGTTTGGATTTTGTTTTGCTGGGTTTGTCATTCTTTAAATTTCTGTAAATTTTGTATGAAGAATTGAACATTTGTGCCTGTCTAGGGTTTAGGTTTCGGCTGAAATGTTAATATCTAGGTTGAGATTTAGAAAAAAATTTGGGTTTTGAGCTGTGTGATTGGATTTTTTGAGAGAGAGAGAGAGAGAGAGAGAGAGAGAGATTTTGTAGGATTTTATGGAAAATGAGTGTGTGAGAACCGATCCAACAACCTCTGCAAATGACCCAATTTCGTGAAAATTTGCTCCGGCTTCATCTCCCTCAATGGTGTTGCATACACGATCTCGTCACCGAGCACCGGGCATTTGACAGTGGATTGGGAGGAGAGGAGAAGAGGGTTTGACGGATTGGTGTAGAGGAGAGAATGGAGGGATAAGGGAGGAAGGGAAGCTCAAGGGTGAGGTACAAGAAGACCAAATTTTTTTTTTTTTAATTTTTAATTTCCACGTGTTCTCCTTAATGACATGTGGCGTCCAGTCATTGTCCACATGAGCGCCACATCATCAGTTAACAGAAAAGTTAACAGCCAGACTAACGGATGTATGAGACTGTCCCAAAATTAACACTTTAGGTATGACTCTGGGATGAAAAAAACTTGATATACTAAATGTTGAAAACCAAAAAACTTCAGGGTAATAAATAGAGTTTAACCCAAAAAAAAAATATTGATATATTTGTTGAAATGTCCCACATCGACCGTATCAATGAGAAAATAAGAGTTTAAATATCATAACCTCACTCCAACTAATACTGATGCCTTTTGTAATAAAACTCCACACCTGACGAATTATACAGGTGATAATTATTAAATTGGGGACAATATCGGTGTTGTTGGAAGTGGGCCGTATGACCCATCGTCTCTCTGATAATTCTACAATATTACTTAGAGGGTGTGATATATCCACACATTTTTTTTTTACTTTTCACACACTTTTTTTTTACTTCCCACATACTTCTTATTAATTTT